CTGTACAATTTTATTGTAGTTTTTAACATTCGAATTCCATTCTCTAAATTGGTTGTGGTTAATCATGCGAGGATCCAAGATTCCATGGGCATAGTTTAAAGAGATGTAATTTATACTACTCGTGATACCAAAATATGGGGTTGTAATCGTCCTACTAACTTATTGTTCCTACATCTACAATAATTGATTCATATTTTACAAAAAAAAAAGCTTTAGCACATAAATATTCTTCTCCAAAATTTGTCCAACAGTTAGATATCTCTCCACCCATTAATAATAGATATCATTATGGTATATATATATATATATATATATATATATATATATATATATATATATATATATATTGCATTAAAAGGTAAAAGGGACATCAAAATCACAATTATATTTCGTCCTCTTTCCTTTTTATCTACTTCATGTGAAGTCCATTGATTCGGGCACGGCATGTCCGTCCCAAATTGGCAACATTTTCGGGCTCACTTCCCATACGGGCCAGTCTTGTTGGATGAAACTACAACAAGCTGTCCGCTGTTGCGTACCATCTATCAAAACACGCTTATCTTAACGACTCACTGATCCTATCCTTATTACCGACGGTTATAGGATCTTGGCCGTCCGTTTCGGTGTCAGAACTGAAACACCGCTTCATTTTTTATTTCCACCACAATCCACCACGTGTCTGTCAACAAATGACAAGACACGTTTTCGGTAGCGTCACCTTCGGTAAACGTTGTCGAACACGGCCTTTCGTAAACAGCCTCAACCCGCGCATGCCCAACCAAGCGTATCTTTTTCTTTCTCCTCCCCTCTCTCTCTGTTAGGGTTTCTCCCACTCACTCGATCCGTTCCAAGATCACACCTCCGACGATCTCCTGCTCGCTCGCGATTGCAGTGATGGACGAGGGGAGCAAGAGCACGGCGAGCTTCCCCAAGGTCGCCAGTGGCAGTCGTTCCTCCCTGGGCACACCGGCCTTCTCCGGCGGCCACTCGGCCTCCACCAGCGGCAGCGCTGGGTCTCCATCCAGTCGGAGCGATCCTGCGGCGAGGACGCCTGCCAGCGAAAACACCCTGGTTAGGCTGAACCATCTCGATATCCAGGGGGAGGACGAGGGGACGCCCGAAGGGGCCGTCAGGTGAGCCGTTGATTTCGCCTTTAATTTGTTGCTCTTTCTTCCAATTGCTTGTGCTGACGGGAAATTTTGTTGGACATGTGGGGTGGAAGAATATGAGATCACGGGCCGTCCCTTGTGAGTGTGTGGGTGACCCTGCATTATCTGGGGTTTTTTGGTTGGGACTAAATTGGGGTGTAAAATTGTGAAATATACATAAGATTGTTCATCTGGATCGCACGGAAACACCAAATTTTGTTTTGGATACCCGTATTCTGAATTTTGCATCCGGAAAAGAAGCATCACTCTTTTGATACTTATGGAAAAAAATTTATGTGAAATTCTCATTTGTCTGAGCATTTAGTTTCTTTTCCGAATTAGTATATTATCTGATATTGATGGATGGATTCATCTGGTACTGGAATCATCATTTAGGATTTTGATGCTAAAACCCCTATAACTAGACTCTTGATGCAGATTAAGTTCTTCTTTCCATGATAACTCATATTTAGATCTTTGTAAACTGTCTTTCTGAACCAGTAAATTACTACTCAATCTGGAATCTGTTCTTTTGCCCTTGTACTCACTACTATTTCCTTAAATACCCTGATATCCCCACCACAAACACATCTCAACTGTTAGCATCATGTCGAAAAACATCTTGTCCCTTGTCACTCCTGAACTTAAACCCATCGTGACGTACATGGTGGTGCTACAGTCAGTGTCAAGACTTGCAGAGAAAAAAGTTGGCAATGGAAGTGTTGATTGTAATTATATTGGTGGCAATGGCGGTGACACTGGTTGAGACTCAATTTTGAACTCCAATGAATTATGGCTAAGAGGAATGATAGACTTGAACCCAAATGACATGGGAGGCATCATATGTGAGATTACTAAGAAGAGCTCTAGAATGCTTCTAGAACCATAGAAGTTAACTTCTAAGAAAAATAATCTCTATCTTACAATTTCTAGTCTTGCAATGATTTTTCTGGGGAAAATAAACACAGCTCGAAGGGTTTCATAGCCCAAGTATATTCCAATATTTTCAATGGTACAAACAAAATATTAACCTTCTGGAGAATGTATTGAGACACAACAAATAAACAAAGTCTTATGAAGGAGAAATGGGAGTGTCAAAAGAGAGAGCCCCAAGTTCTGTTATTTATATTTGTGCCTTTCCTTATCTATACGCTTTAGCCAATTTTCCTTTTCATTTTAACCGTGTCTTTTATGAAAATATGATGTTATTATATGAAGCCTGGACACTTCAAAATGTGTGTTGTCTCCATGTCATGTTCAAGTTCGGCACTGACACTAGTCAAACACTTCCCAACATGTGTTAGATAGTTAAGAGCATACTTGTTTTTTTTTTCTTTGGTGTATTAGTTGCTGTTTTTCTTCCATGTGATGCCTTACATTTGTAAAATTTGCCATATTGGTGTGTCATACAGTATTGTGTTTGTATTTCATGTCCATGACTGCATGTATATGCTTAACAGATGTCGTTAGATAGAATACAAGAGTAATGTCTTCATGAATTCACAATAGCTATAACATAGTCAGATATTCCATCCACAGGTGTATTTGATTTTTTTTTTTTATCTAATTGATGATGCTACTAGCATAGAATTTTCATAAGATTAGTTGTTTTCTTGTAATTTCCAATGAGTGATAATATTATGGTTCAAGCAGTGGTAAAAAGAAAAAGAGGGGTGTACGAGCAGTTGGAGGTGATAAAAGTGGTAGGGGACTGCGGCAGTTCAGCATGAAAGGTTAATGGAACTCCTTACCCTATGTATACAACACCTACTTCATTTCCCTAAGTTAATAATAAGAAGATGATTCTATGATATTTAATCAGGTACTTCATGAAACTCTTAAAAATAATTTGTAATGAGTATATGTGTGCTAATGCACTGAATTTTAATCTTCCAATAGATATTATGGTATTTTTTCTTTCAAACTTATTGAAAATGTTGCTCTTTGTTTTTGTGTCATGTCTAATCTGCTTAGTCTGCGAGAAGGTGGAAAGCAAGGGGAGAACCACTTATAATGAGGTTAGGTTTTCTCGGACCTTTTTTTGGGTTTGACTATGTTTCTATGGATTTTTGATTTTCTGTTCATATTTTTGTTTTTTGTTCTTCAAGTAGATAATTTTAATCAAGGATTTAAATCTCAAGCAGATATTAGATTTGGTAATTTGTCAAACTAGTATTGTATCTATGTATAGGTTGTCATATTGATCCATATATTTCAGTATTATTAGCAAAAAATAATAATAAGTTAGGTACCTATTGGTACCAACCTGTATGCTCCTGCATTAGCCTTTGATCAGATTAGTAAACCTTGATCTTCATTGCAGTTGTATTTATTCTCAGTGATTTCAATAGGCGCTCGGGCAAGGCGAGGCGAGGCCCGAGCGCCTCGCTTCATGTCCAAGTGCCTCGCTTCAACGAGGCATCGCCTAGGCGCTCGCCCGAGCCCAGGCGCCGGGCGCTTCGGGCGAGCGCCCGGGTTAAACCAGGCGACCGAACCAGTGTTTTACGTCTGGTTCGGTCTCCGGTACTTTAGTTGGTTCAATCGAACCAACTAAATCACCGATAGGCTCCCTCTCACGATTTCTCCGACTTCCGCAACCCTAACACTCGCGATTTTGCTGTCGAGATTTCTTCTCCGTTGTCGTTGCTCTTTGCTGCCACTGCCACTACCACTATCGCTACTTGCCACTGCCACAATCGTTGCTCATCGTTGTTGTCGTCGCTTGCCGCTCGCAGCTCTCGCTCCCACTTCCACACCCGCTGCCGCTCGTAGCTCCTGCTCACGCTATCGCTCGCCGCTCCCGCTCCCGCTGTCGTTGCCTTAGCAGCCTCGGTCTTCTCACACTCTTCTCACTATACTGTTAACAGTATATTAACAGTTAACTGTATACTAATAATAGTATTTTTATTTATTAGATTAATAATATATTATTTTAATTTTAAAACTATTAATTTTTATTTATTTAAAATTATTGTTAGGTTTCAGAATAAATGGCAAGTGTACAGAGCAACTCAATAGATTTGATGTAAAATTTTATTATTTTAATTTTTGAGACTTTTTATTAATATGACATTGTGATTTTGTATTCGATTTTCTTAATTTAATAGCATATTTTTTATTTAAATAATTATATTAATTATATTATATATTTTTATATTTTAGCGTCTCGTTTCGTTTCGCTCGGGCGTGCGCCTAGCGCCTCGGGCGTTTTTGGACC